GCTTTTTTGCAGATCACGAGCGGCCACTTAGCCGGGTCATGACTGGGCCGAAAAAATGGAAATGGAAATGACAGCCCAGCCCGAAAAAATAATATATACAGAAGCAGCTGCCGAATGACTTTATTGCCGCCGATCCGATCCGATCCGATCCACATTTGAATGGCATCGATCGATGGATCGATCGGGGAAGTTCCTAATTACATGACACAACCGCAGGTCAGGTTACCTGGTGTCACCTGTAGCACCTGTAGCCCTCCTGAGGGGAAGAGGAAGAGCCAGCACACGACCCCAAGTGGCATTTTAATTGAAATGGTTTTACTGTCTTTCGTGTTTTTATTTCCCTCTCTTTGTCTTTCAAGGGGTATATGCTTTTCTACCTAATCCTTAACAACCTTTAATGCATCCTTATAAATATTACTTTTATATTTTACTAGCTTATCATTTATTTTGTTCTCTTTATGTTTGTAAACTGTTTTTCTATTTTAATGTTGTATAATAACGAATGGAGTCACATACTGAAAAACTCTTTTATACTTTATCTATTGTTTTTATCAAGATTTGTTAAACTAATATTAATTTTTCATTTTTAGATTTTACAAAAAGGAGGAGAAATAATGAAGGGTCATTCGCAGAACATCAATGACTGTTTGCTGACAAAGGTAAGTTAATATTCTATATTCTTGTGTTAAGTTACATATTTAACGAGGTATTTCACAGTCGCATCCCCATTGAGTTTTCTTCGTTTTTGGGTTGTTTTCTTCTTTTCAGGCCGCGCTTGATTGATTTAGAGATCGGCACTGACCCGCAGCAACAGGACATCCATCCCGCGGAAAAAGGAAGGAAATAACCACCACCAAGGGCACCTCATACTAGATCCAGCACCACCATCTAGTTTCCAGGGTTCCTGCGTTTTCGGTGTCTTGGTAGTTCAGCATTTTTGTATTTCTGTATTATCAGGTGCACCTGCCTGCCCGCTGGCCAAGAAAAGAAGTCTTTGGTACGGGCCATCAACTGGCAAGTCGCATAATGGAATTCCGAGCGGCATGCGATCGACACTCACCCTCGATCCCCCATTCTGAAAACCCCCTCCCCCTCGCTGGGATATTTCCCTCAACCGGGTGCACAGTGCGATCTTGTCCGTTGATCTTTTTGGTGCATTGGCTAAGTTAATTGGTTGTAAAACAATTTTTCGAATTAACATAAAAATGTTTCATTGGAAAAAATATTTATATGTATGTCTGCCTGCGACTCGCCGAGTGCAATTAACATTGGGTCTTCGGTTGGAATCGCTTCGTTTGCGGTTCCGATCGCGCCCGCATATTAGCAGAGCACTCAGGAAACTTTATAGAGAGGGTCTTTCAGTAGTGGGAGTTTGAGTTTGAGTTTGAGTTCGACTTCGTTCAGGGTTAGTCGGAAATGTTGATAAATGAATGATATATGATTGGCGAGATGAGCGCAGGAAGAGCGTTTGACAGGCTGGGTAAATGATTATAGATTATTACAAATATTAGAGCTTCTTCTGCCAAAAATTGCATTGAAAAGCTGGCAATAAAATCACTTTTATAAAATATATTAAAAGACTCTGGCAAATAGCCTAAATGAAACATACAAAACGCGGAATTTATATAGTGTTTTTTAATTCTCTTAAGTTTCTTGTATTGCATTTTACTTAGTTTTATGTACGTTTTGCGATAGGTTCCTTTATTTTTGAGTGGTATGAATTCTAAACTGAATTCGAGAACGCAGATCTGTTCATTATTCGGGGCAGAACGAGTATAACAGAGAAGTCGCTCAACCATTAATTCCACCAAAGTTCGTCATCGCGATTGCCATCGGCATCGTCATCGGAACTGCAATCGTCATTGTCATTGGCAGCGCTAATGTGCGATGTGTGATATGCAATGTACCGCGACTGACGAACTGTGGATGGAACAAGAAAGCCAACACCGAATGCCCAACTAGCCGCCAGACAATTGAATTGTTTCGGCTCTCCGGTTGACTCTTTTCGTACACCCCCGCTACAGAACCCCTCGAAATACCCCTAGAAAACCCCTCATTCTACCCCCACCAGTAGCACCCGCAAGACCATTCAACCATGAGCTGGCCACAAATGCAAATTGAATGAAATGGGAAATAGAAACGCCACGAATACAAGTGTGAGTTCGCGTATGGATGCACTCAAAACAAAAAAAGGTTTTTGCAAAAAATTTGTTGTTAGTTATAATTTCATGGTACATTTTTACTTCCGTAGCACATAGTCTCTTAATTTGAAAATTAAACTTTAATGTGTTTAAATTTTATGCGATGAAAACTTTACCCAACACTGATTTTTAACATGAGCTTATAATTCCCAAGTGATAATTCAGGCTTCTTATGTTTCAATGAATCTAAAAACAAGATAGCTTTTTATTTTATTAATTTTGTATCTACAAAAACTTGGTAAAAATGCAAAAAAAAAATTAATATTTTAATGCACTAATAATTGAACATCTCAGTAATGATGAATGAACTGTAACTGATTTTCGCTCAGTTCAACTCAGTTGAAACCCGCGCAAATAAAGACAATGGGAAGGCGACTTTTATTGGTTCCATTCGATGATCAGAGCGCGGTTTCAAAGGCCGTCAGTTGTGGCGTACTTAGTGACACCATTAACGCCAGTATTTCCCGCTCCCCGCTCCCCTCCCCCCTTAACCCCCTGCGTACCCCTTAACCCTCTGCAGACCCCTTAACCCCCTCAGTAGCTGCTGGGCTACCAACACATCCACATCCGGCGTGCGCGCATGCGCAGCCCGTCTGTTTGATTGATTTTGTTCCAATGCAAGGGTCGCCGCTTTTCTGGCCTTTCTCCGCTCAACTCCGGGTTTTATTCGTTTTATTGTTGGCTGTTGCTCGCTGGTCGGGCCGCCTGAAATGTTGAATGTTTATTGCAATCGGTGTGAAATTTCACACCGCAATGCTTAAATGATTCCCGGTCGCAAGTCGCTTCCTCTTCTTTTTCCCTGCCGCACTTTTATTTTTGTTGTATTTTTTTTTGGCCCGCGAACGTTAGGGAAAACAAGGCGCAAATGGGCTGAAAGTATAGAAGGTGGGTCTAAAAAGAGAGGGGGTGGAGTTTATATAAGAGATCATACAAAACTGTGGTCACAAACGGAAAAAAGTGAAAGAGGGTTAAAATAACTAGAGTAACGATCATTGAATGAAATTTAATCATAGCTTTACTACTGTAACGTTTTAATAAACATTATTGTACATTATTTTCTTTTCTTTAGAATAGTACTTCTGAAATTGTTTGATATAATTCTCTAATAGGGAACATTTGAGGGCAACTTTTAATTGTTGTTAAAATACTTACCCATTTTTATCATAGCCATTTCCTTTTTTCCTATGGCTTGAAAAAAAACTGAATTTTTAGAGCAAGATCTGCATTTAAATATATTATATTACTTTAAGTTTGTAAATTTATTTATGGTTTTTGATGCCAATTTAGCTACAATGCAGATCACACCTTCAGCATTTAAGACCCGATTATTTTTAGTCATTCAAGAATTCAGTTTAGTGACCCCAAACAATTATTCTTAAAGTTTTATTATGAATAATTTAACCATATTTTTTTCACAGTTTTAAAAACCATATTTACGCACAAAAATAGGCTTGCCTTTGCTCTATCCAGTGACTTATATTTCGCTTTCCTTTTCCAAAACTCCGACTTCGCCACCCGCGAGCAACAAGTGTGTGTATGCCTCCTCTTTTTGCCCCTCGACAAAGTTGGCCCTTTCGATAGGTTCTGGGTTCACTGTAATTGCAAGCCCTTCAAGTGCCGAAACCCCTACTTTCCCCGGCGCCCTTGTAAATGCAACTGCAACTGCAACTGCAACAATTGGCGTCACGCTTCGCTGGCCGTTTGCATACTACGGCCAGAGAATGCAGAGAAAATACAGGACAGAGAACCGAGAACTGGGAATAGGAACCCCATATAGGGCTGGCTGATTGAAAGATTATTTTGCACTGATAACGCTAAAAACGTATGGATGGATGGATGGCCCAACAACGACCGAACGAACGAGCGACCGACAGACAAAAAGACAGAAAGACAGAGAGACAGACAACCAACAACCGAACAACCAACCACCAAACAAACAAACAACAAAAGTCAAATAGAGCGAGGCAAGAGCTGTTCGAAAATTGTTGCGCTTTGGGTTTGCGTGTTTGCATTTTGCATTTTTGCATTCATTGTCTGCGGTGGTCGTCGTCGTCGTCGTCATCAATTCGCAATGCATTTCCCACATTTTCAGGCCCAGCCAGACCAGCGACCATCATCATTAATAATATTGAAAAGCCCTAATTACGGTTAAGTGGCCCAAACGAGGCAAAAATACAAGTAAAAATAAGAGAGGGGCTTCCGTATCGAACTTAGCAAAGGGTTCCGTTCGGTTTCGGGTTTGGGTTCGGAATCGGGTTCCCTACCCCCTCGGCGTTACTGAAGCGGATCACCATCATCATGATGATCCGAAGAACGAACTGTGTGCCCCGCTCATTGCGTAAATCATTTTTCCCACCCCTGGAATGAGCACTTCTTCACCTGCCCAAGGTGCACTAAAAATTGCAGGTGCATCGGCCTTCGCTCGTTTTCGTTCCTGACCTACGACGACCCTCGATTCACTCGCCTTAATGAAATCATTTATAATTTTTCTTCCTCCCCTGTTGACTTTTGCGGTCAGGTTCGATGGTTTTCTTCAGGTACCTCTACCCTCTACCAAACAGCCACTTCCCCGTTGAGTTTGTGTTTTCCTCCTGACGCTTGATTGCCCATTTCGGGGCCATTGATAGGGGATAGTCTTGGGTCTTAGCACGTGGCTACTGGTGGGGCACCTGCTCCTCAGCGGGCTCAGCTGCCCAAGGATCACTCCTAATTATTATACAAAAATACATACGTACTAAATGACTTGCCTTAGCAGGCATTGAACTATCAGACAGTTAGACATAGTAATACTTTGTGATACATATATTTTCCAAGGGTTTTCAGCAAATATTGATAAACTTTCGGTAAACGCAAGGATTTTCATTTTTACAGTACACTTCAAAACTTAAAGCCACCGGATAGACAACTACAAAAAAATTTGAAAACAAAATTACGAAACACACACAAATTACATTACATTCTATACAGCTTTAGTAAGCCAGAACAGAAGAATCTTTCGGCCCAAGTTTAAATTAATTGTTCTCCTCGTTACTGTCCAATAGTACACCACCATCTACGTTTGTCGAAGGCATAGGAATGCAGCAGAATATCTGGAACTCACCGCAGGTGGGTGGTTCCGGTGGTGCCCTGAAGGCCTTGGCCCGCAATGTGGCCAATCATCTGAAGCTGAACCGGAGCAGCATGAAGCGAGTGGTGGCCCAGGTGGTGGCGGAGCATCATACCCTCGGCGAGGTGGCCGATTACAAGGGACACATGTACTTTGCCAAGCCGGATCGCTTGAATTTCAACGAGCTGATTGCCCAGTCGAAGGAGGCCTTCGATGATCTGCTCCTCCACGAACCGCGTTCATCCAGGAAGCGAACCACCAAGTCACGGTCAAGGAATCCAACCAGCTCTAAGATTCACCTGCAGAAGAAGGTCTCACCACCACAATTGGCAGCCCCAGCAAAGAAGTCGTTAATAGCCAAGAAGCCTGCTCCACCGATGCAGAGGAACAAGCGCCGAAGGAAGAGCTCCACCACCATTTTCCAGCTGGCGGATGCAGGTCGTCGCAGTCTGAACGGAGTCATCATCGACGACACGCATTTGCCGCACGATGGTGAACGACGGGAGATCCTGTTGCATGTTCCTTCGGCGCTAGTCAAGCGTTCCCGCAGGCGCCTCCGAGCTTCCCAGACCAAGGTTTCCTCGGAGAAAGGTCAAGTGCAGAAGCCGGGAAAGGATCAGGCTCAGAAGGTGGAAGCGAAGAAAAACAAGTCACAAAAGGAGCTAATCCAGGGGAAAACACAAAAAATGCATATACCAGAAAAGAGGCTTCAGAAGTATCGGAAGACAATGAAACAACCCCAAACGGTGAAGAACCCACAGGAGCAGAAGCAGGAAAAACCCCTGGAGGAGCCGTTACGCAGTCCATCTCGCTCACCTACTCGCTCCCGATCGAGGTCACCGACACATCGATCGAGGTCACCGACACAGCGATCGAGGTCACCGACACAGCGATCGAGGTCACCGACACATCGATCGAGGTCACCGACTCATCAATCGAGGTCACCTACCCATCGATCGAGGTCACCATTAGCCTCTCCAACAAGTCGATCTCCGTCTCCATCTCGTACCCTAGTCGCAAATCAAAAATATTCATCAGCTCATAAATTGGACACACCACTTCGCTCGCGGGAATCTCAAAAGCAGATAGTGGCCTTTGGTAGTGTCTTCTATCAGCGCATAAAAGCGGGAGACGCCCAAAATCAAACTTCGAAACTTCCCAAGACCAAGTTCAGGTCGAAGTTGAGGCCCCACAAGAAGAAACTTCCTTTGCTGCTCAGGACCTACGAAAAGCCCTGGCTAATAAGACGCACCAAACGAAGGCTGGCTGGAGGATCGCATAAGAACAAAAGGATAGGAGCTGTGAAACCGCAGAGGCTGGATAATATAGACGTGAAATGGGAGGAGACGGTGGATAAGAAGGAGAAAACCGAACAATCGGCGAGGAGCAGCAAGGAGGAGGTAAAAAAGAAAAGCTTGGCCAACATCAGGACCCAGAAGAGGAGCACTCACGTTGGCCGTCAAATGCGCAACGTGAACTTTCCGTGGTACACTCCGTACCAATTTCAAGGCGGTGCCGGAGCAACCCAGACACCAAATGCAGCGGTCGCCATTCCGCCCTATCGATTGCTGAAAGCGAAAACCAACCAACTCCAGCAAAGATTGATGGCGATCCAACCTCCCAAGCCAAGTGTGGTGCCCCAAATGCGACGTGGCCAGAATTTCACCAGTCGCCAGAGACACAATCGCCGGATGCAGGAGCGTCTGATGAGGGACCTGCAACGCGAGGAGGCCATCGATGAGCCGTGGTCCAATGGATCGGGCGTGTTTCGCCGGTGTCGCGGTGGCTGGAGTCCCCCGGAAAAAGCTAGGACCCCCGAAAAGCCCATGAAACCAGAACAACAAAAGAAGGAGCAACAGCAGGATCATCGCTCTGTGGAGCGCGTGAGCTCGCGGATAAAGCGTTTATCCAACGACAGACGCTGCCGCCAGCCCATCGCCACCAGTGAGCGGATCGTGATCCCGCCGCCCAAGGCAAGTCATCCGAATGCCAGTCCCCGGAATGGCCGGGTCCGGCGGAGATTCCGTTCCGTTCCGGTGGACAGCAGCCTGGGCAGCATCGCTCTGATGGGCCAGCCGCAGTCGCAGACGCAGTCGCAAGCGAACAACAAACAGACTCTAACGCCGGCCAAACGCCATCTGTCTATTGCCTTCATGAACAAGAGATCGGAGCGAACCAATCCAGCCATTCAGCCATGGAAATAGGGCTTCTCTGCCCCTTGATTTTGATCAGTTAGACGGTTGAATGACTCTGGTCCACACGGTACACAACTATTCCATTCTTTGGCAGTCACTTTTCCAACGATGCTGGATCTCTACATTCTGTTTTCTTTTTTTGTTGGATCTAAATAAATTATCAAGTTGGAATGCCGATTGGATGGCATTATTTCCACATTAAATATGCTTTATAAGTACCCTGGTTTTGTTACTCTATATTAATTGATCCAATGATGCGGAATTATTTAATTCGACTCCTCTGCTAACATATTTTTAAAGACACATGAAGTAATCTGTGAAGACATCCAACACATGTTACCATACAGGTGGCTTGCCGATGACATCGAGCCCAAACCGAAAGGGATTGAAAACTTCCGCGACAAGGTCAGCAATCAAAATCCTTAAGCTGGCGCTTAACCCCGTGTCAAATGTCTTTAACTCGGGGCTCTGCCATCTTGCCAATATCAATATACTCCTTGGCTTTAACCCATATCTCTTCAACCCCCCTCCCATTTGTTGTCGTTTCATGCATTCAAGACAAACGCCGCCAAATTCCATGGGGAGTCAAAAGTCAGGCAGTCGATGAGCTCAACAGAAAACTGACAACAACGAAGCTGAACCAAAAAAAAAAGTATGGAAAAAAGGAGGAAATAATAATACAAGTGAAGACTGAGGAGCAAAACAACAAGGCCATAATTTAAGTCGCTAAAGTTTTGCGCCTTTTGTTCGCCGCTTTCCGCACAAAGTTATTGAAAATCGCGCAAAGGGTTGAGTTTTTCGGCGCGGTCGAAAGGGTTCGAAATTGAAAAAGAAAGCGAATGTCAGGTGGTTGGTTGGATGGTTGGGTTGGGTGGCTCATTGGTCGTTGGTGTGGGTGATTTAGTGTTAAATAAAAACTTTTAAATTGCCATTTGATCGTTTGTTTAGCGACAATAATGTCGTCGTTGCCATTGCCTTTGCCTTTTCCATTCCCTTCAATTGAATGCGCCCAGGGTCCTGTGACAGGTTTATAGGTCGCTTCCTTCGCGACATTCGTATTCGTATTCGTATTCCGAAAAAGGGGTGAGAGGTATCCTGATGTCCTGGAGGAGGTGGAAAAGTGGAAAAGGCAATGGCAAAGGACCTCGGCGAGGGCGTCGTGACAATGACATTGTTTCGCTGACAGTTGTAGCAAATTTATTGAAAAGGTGTTCCCTGGCATTTGTTTCGTTTCGTTACGTTACGTTTGTACACTTTTTGTATTTTTTCCGTTCCGTTCGCCGTGTTGTGTGTCTTCGGGAATTGTCAAAAATTTATTGATATGTTGAAATTGCTTCTTGGCCTGCCATAAAAACTTTGACAGCTCCATTTTTTTTTTGTCTTCTGTTCTTTTTTTTTCTTTTTTTTCGGTACGCTCATTGTAGTAAATTTGACAGCAATTGTATTGTTTGACAGTTTGTCGTCTCCGGCAAAATGATGATGTCAATATGCAAAGCAGTTTTGCGGAATGGCGAGGGTGATGCCAAAAAAACCCAATCGAGGGTTCTCAGCTCGAGAATGAATGCATGTGTATAAACGACTGAATGAAGGGAAATGAATGGGTTATTGGTGAGTTGACAGCAGTCGTTGACAGCTTGCAAAATGTTTTAGCATGAAAACAGATTTCTTTGATCCTTAATTGAGGGTTTTTTTTTAGTAGCTTTGGGTACTTGCAGCGAGCTAAAGATTGGAAGAAAGATCGATGAATCATTATTAAAATGCAAAAAATTAACACACAATTTGAAGTACAATCTTTATGGGGCTTAACATTTGTTTATACAATTCCTAACACTTATAACCCCATTAAAAATCGGGAAATGTCATATAAATAAAGTATTTAATCACTTCCTGTAGCAATTGGTAAAGTTCACAGATGCGCAATACCATCGAAAGTGCCCTATGAACTTAAGATGGTTGCCATTGAACTTTGGCTGGCCAAGACTTTTCTCCAATTTGATTCCCAATTCAAAATTCAAGCACACAAAGCCACCATTTTCCTCAGCCATTTCCACAATATTTATGTATGAGCAAAGCACACACATTCGCCAGAGAGGGAGGGAAATATTTTTTATGAGACTGTTTCGTTTTTCGCTTAATCGCACTAGAAAATCTGTAGAAATGGTAGAAGGAAGATGGGTAAGATGGTTAAAAACAACAACCAACAGCAACAAAAAACGCGGCGAGCGTTCAACTTGAAAATATGCCAAAAGACAATTGGTTGTCGGGTGGTTTGGTTGTTTGGTTGTTTGGAACGCTAAGGGCACGGCCCAGTCTTCCGTCTTCCGTTCCCCGTCTCCAATCTCCAATCTTCAGTCTCCAGTCTTCGGTCTTCAGACCACAGTCTCCAGTCTTCTTCCGACTCTTGTCTTAGTCGCAGTCTTAAGTTTTCTTCAATGTTTAGCGAAGCGTGAATATTATTTGAGAGCCGAAAGGGGAGGGAGGGACAAAGGGTGGGCAGGCATTTATTAATAATTACCACACCGAGTGGGAAAGAGCGAGACCGAAGTACCTGGTTGGAAATTTATTTGTTATTTATCTTTTTGGCATTATGCATGAATGGCAATAAAAAATACACACACACACCAACACACACACACAGATAGCCTTAGTTTCTTATTCTTGCTGCTGGCATAAATAGTTAACCAGAAATGCGGCAGCAGCAGCAGCAAAACTAAAAAAAAGAGTATCATAAAAAAAATTATAACAATCCATTCAGGTTGTTCTCAGGTGTACCACCATGGTCCCTCTCTGGGAGTTCAGTCAATAGATTTAGATCACTTTGCGATGCCAGAAGTGAGGGGGGGACGGGTGGGAAGCGGGGAAGTGGGGAATGAGGGGAAGACAAAGAGTCATAAAAATAATGAGCTGGGCACGACGACGATGGCGACAATCATGATGTAGATGATGAACAGCAAGAAGTTTTTACTGGCTGCGAATGCCGGGCAGTGCGTCCCATAAATATACGGCTATAGCTAGGGTCTATCAAGTTCGGAACTCGAGATGTTGTCTTGCACGCATACACCCACATACGATTTCATAGTTTTACTTAAAATTGATCAACTTTGGGCAGTTTAAAGGTACTAAATATTATAAAACCTATACTTTGTACTTTATTTTACGGTGTTATTTTAATACCAAAAGTTTCTTGTTGATTCCTTCAGAAGTTAGAAATTATTTAATAAAAAATGTCGATATTATATTGACTATATAGGCTGTATATTAGCCAATAGTAGCATGATCAAAAAAAGAGTTAAGGGGTATATCATATAAAGCTATTGCCATTATGAAACGCACTTCATATGCAATCACATTTCGAGAGCATTTCCAGATATGGCCATCTTCTGATTTGGATAATCATAATGTGACTCTGGTGCTAATCTTATTGACTTTCGTAACTGTACTAACCACATGTCAGAAGTGAAGAAAAACAAAACCTTCAGGCTTGTATTTCTTATTTTTTCGGTTGAGCTTCCACTTATTTGTGGCTGAGGAATTCCTTATCGCAGGGCAAACAATGAAATAATTTCTATGATTCCGAATGTGAAGTGCTATTATTGTTTGGGCATTCGCTCTATTTACTTATTTGTGGGGAGGGACAATTCCCCCCTAAAGAACCAAATCACAAATTATTCTAGGAAAATTGGCCTCATGGCTTTGGCATGCTGCGGTTAGCTGATGAAACCCAAGCTGAGGCTGAAAACCCACAAAATACGAAATAAAAAACAGAGTGCATAGGAAGGCAGAGTGTTCTCGGTTCTATATCTTATCGCTCGCACCGGAGACCAAATAAACCGAATGCCGAACACCCCCGCAATTCATGCAAGCCGACCTGATAAGTCCAAACAAATGGATTTAAGGGGCGAAGAGATGTGAGCGGGCTTATCAGAGACCCGAAAGTATATACCTACACCTCCCTCCCCCGCAAAACAGGGTGTGTACTTTGTCAGGGATCGCATTGTTCAGCGTGGAACTATTTGATATTTGCACTGGATCAACAGGTGCCAGCGAAGCGGCAGCGTCAGCATCCCGAAAACGAAAGATGACAGCGATTGCGCAATGATTATGGAGTCTGACGAGGGAACTATCACAAATTGTATTAATATAATATTACATATTAAAAGCTTAAAAACAATGAAACACGAGATCACATTTGATATACCCTTTGGTCTGTTACAAAATACATTCATACATTGTGTACTTAAAAGCCGTTGCAAGTGGATCATATTGAAAAGCAGTCTATCCTGTAACTTTCTTGAAAATCGGATGATCTGCAAAATATTTGAAAAACTGGTAAATATTATATCAGAAAATGCAACAACATTTAAACAACATAATGTTTTTAAAGACCGCTAATACTTTTTGTCAAGTTACTGAATATTTTGCATGCCCCAAATACTTTGTATATATATATATTATAAACCAGTCGATCCTGTATTGACCATATAATTCCACTGCCATCCCTAAAATATTCTTGACCAACATTTTCCAATAGGTTCTATATTCACATTTGAAAACCCAGCAAATAATGTTTTATTATCAAGCTTTCAAATCACCATCCAAATACAACTTTCCCATGGAAAACGAAAAAAAAAAACCCAACCAATCGCACTATTCACACAATCTTCTACCGATTCCAGCAACAGCGAACCCAAAACGAGAAAATCTCATCAAAAGTTTTTAAGGAAATACCCAGAAACACCTCTCCTGATGCCACCCCCCTCCCCCCATTCACCCATGGGCCGTTGCATTCGAGAAATTTCAATAATTGCGGCTCATTAAAAGTGCCCGGATAATGGGAGCCCGCAAAATACACACATTTGGAAAACACTTCAGCCCACCTAACACTTCCGATTATGAAATTTGTTCGTTTGACAAAATGCCATAAGAGAGTTAGTCAGCCAGTCGTCATCGTTGGAAGTTGTTCGTTTCAGGTTGTTCGCTGTTCGTTGTTCGTTGTTCGACAGACGGACAGACAACGGTAATCACAACATGGAAATATCTATAATGTAATTACGGCCAGATCGAGGTGACTGTCGTTGGTGGTTGGGGAATCAAGTAAAACCAAAGCCAAAGCGATCACAGAAAGAGGCAACCAACCAGCGAAGACGACGACAACGACTATGGGACTCATTAAAACAATTTTAAAAAATAATACAAAATAATTACAATAAATTAT